ATAAACAATTAAAATCAAGTATTATTCACAATGGCATAAATATCTCCATGTGATATAATGATAACCTACATCGAGAGATGGAGATAGAGTTGTTTTAGTTTTAATAATCCAATAAAACTTAAGTAAATGGGGGAAGAATGGTCCCTCTATACACAAAAATGATTCATATCTAAATTAAAACACGGTTTATTTTTTTTTTTGCAAGTTTTTAATGAGAACTACAGATCCAATTTCATATTGAAATGGATCTGTGAGGTTCTTGCTCATGTTTATTTTATGAATATCTTAACGGTTTATTCTTACATTTCTATTCTACAGTTATAATTGTTAGATGAGAAAACATTTGTTTTATAAATGAGGAAATTACTGTCATTTTTAAGGGTGTAGTGAAAAATAATTCTGAAGTTTTAAATGAGGTTTTAATTTTGTTAGAAAAGTAGAGTAGATTTAGCACATGAAGGATGATCGTATAGTTTTAGTAAAGTTTTTCCATTTCTGCTCCTTTCCATGTTACTCTGAAAAAAAAGAATGTATAACATGAAAGATCTATGAAAATCAACAAATGAAGGTCAGACATTGCATTTTAACCATCTTTAAAGAGAATGATTTTACAAAATAATCTAAAATCATCTCGTTTGTTTTGTTCACATCAGTTGGTTGATTCCACACCAGCTTCCTGTACTCAGCTTCTTGTCCATGTCTGATTGAGCAACTTCAGATTTAATTGAGGATTTCTGCAGATGACAGGACTCTGTCTTGTTAACTTGTGATGGTTACTATGGTTACACATCATAAAAAATGCCCAAAATAAAAACATACTGGTAAAAAAATCCTTTCAGCTGCACAGCATCCAACATCAGATGTTAAGAATACCAGAAGAACAGAAACTATGATTTCAAAAATGAAGGAACTGAAGTTCTTGAAAAGAAAATCAGAACCAAGCATCAGATCTTCTTCAAAATGCAGAAACATTAACCGGTTCAAGTCTAGTCTCTTTATCAGTAATAACTCTTAAATTGAACTTTCTCTTTCTCATGTCATTCCGCAGGGATTCAGTTTGTCTTTGTATCGTTTCTCTCCACCACATTTCAATGGGGGGAAGGTGTGACCTCTCTGGGCTGAGCTGTCAGAGAGATGGCCTCACATTATTTTACTAATTGGAAGATTTCACGATTTGCACCAGGACTGCAAGATGCGTGCAGTCCTGAAGCTTAGCAACAATCCCACATCGTTCTTCCGCAGTCTTTCCATTCTTTCAGATGCAACTTTGACTACTTAAGAAATGCTCCATCCTTTCATTTTCTGTCACGCTTATCCCATGTGGGGACGCAAGGGGTGCTGGTGTTTATCTCCAGCTTTCTACAGGCGAGAGGCGGGGTCCACCCTGGACAGGTCGCCAGTCCATTGCAGGGCAGCACAGAGACAAACATCCATTCACGCACACACTCAAACCTAAGCAGAATTTAGAGAAGCCAATTAACCTAACAGTCATGTTTTTGGACTGTGGGAGGAAGCTGGAGTACCTGGAAAGAGCCCACCCATGCACAGAGAGAACATGCAAACTCCATGCAGAAAGACTCTTGGCCTGGGCATCGAATCTGGAACCTTTTTGCTGCAAGGCAGCAGTGCTACCCAATGCTCCACTATGTAGCCGCTGCTGCATTCCTTTTAGGGAAAAGAGATTTTCTCTTGTAAACCTCCCAAGCAAGTAAAAAAATCTGTCTTTTTTTCTTGAAACTTAAACATTTAGCATCCTCACTAAGTCCTGTGTATTCTGAGATTAAGCTTTTTCTTTTAATTTAAATAAACTGGGACAATCCTAAAAAGATCAGCTTTGAATAAAAGATAAATAATGAAACCAGTTTTCTTTGTTGATGTTTTTCTACTTTTATCTACTTTTTATTAAAGCGACTGGTTTCACAGAAACAAAACATCAAATGTCTTGATTTCATTGTCACCTTTACATTAGCTGCTGTTTTCCATTTTAACTCCAAGAAAAGCAGCAAGGATGGTTTTATTTTTCCCATTAGTGGATTGAAAGTCATGCAGCCTTAGTTATGGCCACTAATTAAAACATTTCGCAATATAATTTCATTCAGTAATTTAATATGACATTTCTATTTCCTTACAGTCTATGTTTACAGCATCTGTCTCTAAA